ACCCTTTTGCATTAGGGTTGAATTTTAATTTTAATCGTAAAAGATGCATTTAATTATTCAATTAGCTTCTAAAAAAAAAAAATTATTAAAAAACTCAATAGCGGCTCTAAAAAATGGGTGTTTCCGAACTTATTGAACACCCTGTATATAAAAGTGTCAGACTTTCCGGAACACTTTTAAAAGTCNTGAACACCCTGTATATAAAAGTGTCAGACTTTCCGGAACACTTTTAAAAGTCAAGTTGAAAAAATTAATTTTTTGTGAAAAAGTTGTCATTTTAAATCCCCCCCTGTGGGCAGATAAAGGGTCAAATTTACAAAAAAAATATTCCAACTGATTGGTAAAGACATCAAGCATCTATATAAAAAAAAATTATATTGATATATTAATTTTTAAAAAAGTTATGGCAGTTTTTATTAAAAAAAATTGAAAAAATTTCGAAAATAAGCGATTTTTAAATTTGTAGTTTTTTTGAAGGTTTCCTTCATTTATGGGGAACGAGGGAATTTTTTTCAATTTTTGAGGGTAATGTCTTCGACTAGATACGATTTGTGATCTTCTAACGTATCATTGAAATATATCGGTTTGGTGAGAGCTGAGAAAAAGTGGTAACACACAAAAAAAAACACATCATAGTAAAACCAATACCTTCTCAACTTGTCATCGAAGCTAATAAAATAATGATGTGAACATAAGCTGATTTAATTTTTCAACTATTAAGTTATTAAGAAAAAATAATTTATACCTAAATACTAATAACAAATAAGTTATAAATAATTTTGAAAATAAATATAAATTATAAACAATGTAAAATTTAATTTATTTAAAATTAAAAACAATTCCTGCCTTTTTTTAGTCATATTTTCATTAATATTATTTAGAGCACACAAATAACAAATTAACAAAAACAAATAAGTTACCTATTATAACTACTAAATTATAAAAAAAAAAAACAGATTAAAGATAAGATTTATCTAAAAAATTTTCATAGAGTATTACGCTATCGAATTTTGTAATCAACTAGATTCTAATCAATGCATATTTCAATAAGTATCAATGATACTTGGTAGTTTGTTATAATTTGTTGGACCAGAGTTAAAAAAAATTTATCTACAACCACGTTTGGAGTAACTGCTATTCCATTTATTATTACGTCCAGAACGTTATCTTTTTCAAATAACGCTTTCTATGAATATAAAAATGAAAATACAGCCTTAATAATAACTGTACTACTCAATAGTAATCACAAATTAATAATAATTTCAATGTATATAAAGCCTAGTATGTTATTGATAATTCGTAAAATAATTGAATTTTAAATTTGGGGGGGCGGCCCTGGGCCACATTAAATCTAAGGGGGGTCAGGCCCACCCATGTCTACGTGCCTGCCAGTATGAAAGGTTTGGCATGATCATAATTTTGGTGCCAATAATTTACAAGGACATTGAAAGTATAGTTCACATAATAAAGGAGTCGTCTTGAAGGAGTAGACAGATATACATAAGAAAAAGTCTCAATACTCCTTGAAAACGAAAAAAAATCTGAGTTTTAATAACGTAATTATTTTTTTCATGGTGGTAAATAACATTTTCAAGAAAATGGTCTTAAATTTTCATTATATATATATAAATGTAAAACAAACAATAAAATTTGTAACAAAAATTATTACTAACACTATTTTAATGCATACACAATAAAAAAATATCCATAAAAACATGAACATTATATCGATTAAAAATATATATTTTTTACTTTAATTAAACTTTAACTAGGATAATCCATGAATTTTTGAAAAAAAAAATATTTTCCAATAGAATAAATATTTTATAAAATTGTTTTTTCAAATTTATCAAAATAGAAATTTTGATTTATCTCTTTTTCAAAATTTAGACCACCGTGTAAAAAAGCTCATAAAAAATGTTTCCACCTACAATAAAAAAAAATGGCTACTGCGTGATATTTCAAATGTGAAAACTGCTTTTTAAATAAATTTTTGATGCTAATTTTGCTTTAATAATATATTATTTTAAAATGTTATAAAAAAAAACTTTTACCAATATTTTGCAAAATATATAAATTAATTTTTCTCTATTGAACATGTTTAAATCAGTAAAATAAAAATACATGGTTATATGGTTATTTTGTATTATGATGATTGAGTTACTATGTGCTTATTAAATAAAATTATATAATATAATTTTCTCTCGGGATATGAGTACGAAGGTTTTATGAGATGAAAAGCAAAGTGATGTTTGACAATTTATCAATATAGTAATAAATTCAAATAAAAATTATTGTGATTAATTATCACAAATAAATTATTAATTACGCCACTCGCACCAGTAGTTATCTAAACTTGTGCTAACTGTCGTGTCAATAAATACCTCGAGTAGCATATAAAACTCAAGTGGAATCTCTATCTTCGCAAGAGTGACTTTATTTGTGTTGACCACAAAGGTACCTCACTGAAATATTGGACAAGGCTAGTTAACTTTGTACAAACGTTATCGATTTCATTCATTCGAACAAAATTTTTTTCTAAATTCACTTAATTTATTTGATTTCCTACTTAATTTTTGTACTCATTATTCTTAACTTTAAACCTAATAATCTTCTCTGAAATGTAAGTTTACCTTCGTGGTTTAGAAACAAAGTCTAAATAAATATACATTTTTTTTTTTTGTGATTTTATAATATATGCCAGGCCACTTCTTGCACTTGCTGAATGATCATAAAGGGAAGGAGTGAGCAGAAACAACAGCTTTTGTGCCATTTTATATTAAATTTAACCCATCTATATATGCAAGAAGTGTTATGACCTTTTACTATTATCTGTTTATTGCACGATTGTGTTGGTTTGCACATATTATTTTACTTTAAAGCTGTTTTATCACAACTAAAGAATTCTTTATAGTTATTACATTAGGGTTTTATTTATGCATTTTTTATATATTTTTCTCAGAATAGATAAAAATATATAATTTAATTTGATGATTAATAGACTATGATTTATAGAGAACTGAATAATGAGTGCTGTATAAATTATAACAGGTATAAAACTTATCTAAATTTTAAATAATATTTACAAAATATCTATAAATTAAATTTATTTTAAAACTCTATTATGGGTTTCTATTTATGAATGTTTGATTATTGATTATTAGATTTTTTAAAAATAAATTTGCTTTATAGAAAGAATATTTAAAACGCTGAACAATAAAGAATTTATTTTATTTGTTAAACTAAATATATACAATTAGTTTATCTCTGCTTAAATATTCGATCGATTATTCAGGTAACTATGCTATAAAAATGTATTATTTACAGAATACAATAGATCTAACTGACAACTGTTCAAACTATTAGTTTCAATTAAAATTTCATTGCTACATGCCCACTTAATGTATTAAAATGAAAACTTAGTAGATTACTAAATTAACAGATTAAATGTTAGAAAATTACCAAACTAAGAAATTGTTGCTGTATAATCACTTCTGCACTAGTATTTTGGAAGTTATTATTTTTTTATATGGACTGGAGGAATTGGGGTTATGCCATTCTTATCATATCTTCCTACCGAATTATAAAAATGTTTATAACTACTAAAATACTGGTCTCAAAGATGTTATCGGCCAGTCGTTTACTTAGTTGCATCAAATTAAATATTTAAGAATAATAAAGTTAGTATACTTATGAGGTATAAGGAAAAGACCTAACAAATGTTTAATCACTAGTAATCAAGAAATAGGTATTATTTATTAAACCAAACAATATCTCAAAATTTTTATTACTTAAAAAAAAATCTATTGGTAATGATAAACTATCTAATCTATTTGACTCTTTATATAGTTTGTATTATTATTGTTTGTATTATTTAATCATATATAATACAGCCTATTTGAAGTTTTGAATAACAAGCCAGCCAATTAAAATGTACAATATTTTGTCTTAACATTTTTTAATCACTAGTTTTTCAATTACATTTATACGATAAATTATTAAAAATAAAAAAATTAACATATCATGTTTCTAGATTCTAGAATTCTATTACTTTGAAAAAAATATGTATTTGCTATTTCAAGTATTTTTGACTACTGTAAGTAAAAAAGAATAAGTATAAATGATCATAAAACGTTATATACACGTTTTATAAATTTAAATTATTTGTTTAAAAACAGTCATGTCATTCTAAGAATGAATGTAATTTATAAATAAAATTATTACTTATGCGATAGAAGTAATTAAACTTTATACACTATTTATTAATATATAATATAACATAATTAACTGACATTTTTAACATTCTGAGTAAAAGTAAATAGATTATTATAAACAAAATTTCATACAAACAGTATTATTAAAGTAATTTGAAATAAAAATTTTCAGAAGAAATGTCAACACAAAATTACAAAAATCAATTTCGGATATTTACAATAAAAAGTCTATTTAAAGTAATTTTAGATATTACAGCTCCAACAAAGCATAACCGCTAAAAATAACAATTTTTAAATATTTTTCATAATTTCAAATGACTATTACTTTCTGTAGAATATAAGGATAAATTTCAAATTATAATTTAAAATACTATAGGTAATTAAACTCTTTATCGATATACCTTTTATTTAGAAATCTAATGAATAATTCAATTACCAATAAAGTTTTTAAGCATCTTAGCTTATATTCCAGAAAAAAATATTCTTAAAAAAATCATATACTAAATGTGTTTCTCCGAACATATTGTCATCGAAACCTATTCGATTCGAACTAGCAGTATTTTATCAATATGGTATTGTCTATTCATAATACAAACCGTGCGGATTTTTTTTTTTTAATAGGGACTTATATATTCAACATCAGCCGAAGCCGAATTTCATGATATAATAAAATATTTGTCATCGAAAAATTTACAAGAAGCACAAAATAAATTCTACAATTGCGTTGTTAAATTAGACATTAATAAATACATAGAAAGTGGTAAGACAGTTTAATAATTTTGAAATATTTTGTTGTATATATTTAATTTATTGTTATTTTTTTTTTAATTTACGTGGTTTTTATAATTGAATTGAATTTTCCAATTTTCTTCAAATTTGTGTGTACAAGTAGATTAGTACAAATATTTTTTAATGAATTTTTAGATATATAATTAATTCATCAATAGTGATTTATAATTATTTTACAGACACATTTAATGTATATTTAAGTACGTTAAAGGATCACATCGTTTCCCGTGAAATACACCCAAATGATATGAGTACAAAAATAATAGAATTTTTAGAATTAGATGAATCATATATTTCAGAAGAGTTTAAAAGTTGTTGTAATATATTCCACTCAAATTTGTTTGATGTAGAAAAGCCCAAGGTACAAACTTACAAAATTTTCAAAATAATAAAATCTCTTTGGTTTTAGTTACATTTTAGAAATTCAACTGTTTTTCAAGTGATAAGAATGTAAATACATATTTCCATCATTAAATTCAATTATGCAATTTTCATTGGTTTTTTCAAAAAATTATATTACTTAATAATATAAAATGTACTCTTTAAATTGTAATTCAATGAAATTTATTATTATTCCAAAATGACTCATTTTCATTGTAATTTTTAGCTGTAGAAACCTTATTACGCTAAATTACAACACATAAAGTTGATAATAACGATAAAATTTACTTAATTTTGCCTCGCTAAAATAGTGCAGTAATGATTAAAATTTTATGATTTAAAATTAAGTTTATTTTATGATAACTATGTAGCGAGTATATAATTTTAATCAGTAATTTGTCCAGTTTTAATATTAACAGTCTTTCAATCATATCACATGTTTATTAAACTATATTATGAATATTTACATTACTCTACTGATTTAATATCTCTTTTTAATTATAAAAAAATATATTTAGTTCGAAGAATCAGTCAATTTGAATATTTTGTTGTATTTACGATTTGAGAAAGCATTCGATGTAATGTATGATTGCCTAGAAAACTATAACAGTATAAAGGATGTTGATGAAAATTACAGTAATTAAATTTTATATAGTATCTATTATATGTAAATAATAAATTAACTAACATTTTTAAATTGCTTAGGAATTCGGTATGGCATTACAGAACCATTTACATGTAGAAGTAAATAAACTTATATAAACTTAATTTAATTAAAAAATTATTATTAATTTAATTTAAAATTAACATTTTCAGGAAACATGTCAACATATGAATCAAAAAAAAGATATTATAAATCTACAATGGAAAATCTATATGATGTCATTATTGAAGCTAAAACTCCAAATGAAATTGTTAATGATTTAAAGAATAGTATACATAGTCGTTATTATGAAGAACCTTTCGCAAAATATTGTGCTGCTGTTTATTATACATATATGGTTACCTACAATTCTACTTTAAATGAGATATTAAATCTAGTTGGAGATTTTATGAAAAATACTAATAATATTACATTAGAAGACTAAAATAGAATTAAATTTATAAAAATTGTTTGTTTTTATTTCAATAAATACAAAACATTAATTCACTTGAGTGATTTATTAGTAGGGTCATTCCATGTGGAATCACCTAATGTGTGTGCTGTTATAGTTCAGAAATTTATGAAATTTATATCATAGACTTCTTAAAGATCATTGACAACAAAAATAATACAGATTTTATTTTTTTTTTTTTTATTGTTTTTTTACCAGATAGCGCTTTTTTATAATTAAAAACATGAAAAAACACCTTATGTTCTAGAGCCTATAACTTCACATACATATAAGCTATCACTGTGGAACTAGCACTGTTTTACTAATATTAAATAGTACTTCAATATCATTCATAAGTTTATGAATTTTGAATTTTTTTTTTACATCGAAATTTTGATTTAAATTTTGCAGTATTTTAATAGCAAAATTTGAAGGTCAAAAAATGTTTTAATTAAAATTTTTTTTTCTTTTCAGAAACTTTTAGTTATGTTCTTTTAACCCATATCATATTTGATATACGTGTACTGATAAAGTATAATTTAACCAAAATCACACGAGAACACAAAACGAAGGCGAAAACGGAGTTATCAATTATGGCGCACGTCGAAAACGGAACAAAACGCGTTATCAGTTATACATATTCGTCGGCGGCGGCCTTGTCATGGAGTAAAGGGCGGGGAGACATAGATAACAACCGATTAATAGGTCATATTAATAGGTGGACAGCTGATATCGAGAGGCAAGATTATCGTTTCTGCCAAAATTGACCGTATCGTTTCCGCCAAACCTGAATAAGGTCGGTTTTTCGTTTCCGCCGAACTAATATTCTGTCTATTTACTAAAAAATTTGAGATCCATTTAGTTTTATCCATGGGTCACCATGACGAACCAGTATCGGTTTTATCATACGGGCAGGTTAGGTAGCTGCCAGTACCAAATTGTTTGGCTTTTATTGAATGTTACGTTCAGGCCTGTATATTAATGAGCAAAATAAAGTAATTTTAACCACCCCTAAATATGGTCACGTCGTTTTGAGTAATTACTAATTTTATCACATAGGCATAACTTTATAAAGAAAATATGACGTTTTACCTAAGGTAAATAAAATATAATAGATAACTATCTTAAGTATATTTGTAATAAATAATAAAAATACAGTTTATAAAAAAATAAAAAGTCATCAAAACATTGAATCAAAGTTTAAATATTAATAATAAGCTTAAAACATATCTAATACGTGTAATAATATAATAAAAATAGATCTAAGATCTATACATTTTTTGATAGTCGTTGAAAACTAATTTCACAAATTTAAATCGGTTAATTTCATTGTTATTAAATTTATCAATTGTCTCTTTTGTTTTTCCGAAACGGAACCAAGTTTATTCTGTACGCTTTTTGAGACTGAAATAAGGTAAGAATAATTTTAATACACTGACGACAATAATGAAGTAATAACTCAAAATCAAAGTACATATATTTATTTTGTCTATCGGATGATGCTATTATTATTCTTCTTTATTAATACCATCCCCATCAACTTTATTTTTAGTTATTACATTACTATTTACTTTATAATTTTTAACACTTTACCAATAATTTGTTATTAAAAATACATCATCTATAATTTTCCTTACTCTTAAAAAATTTAGAATTGTTCATTCAAATATTCAATTTTATAACTTATGTAGAAGTAGAATGTATAGGAAAAAGTGAAATAAGGTTATCAGCAGCCTGAGAATAATTAATAACAATTAATCAATTTTTTAATTTAACTAATCTTTTAAATTTTTTAACTTTTTAATGCTATAAATTTTTGAAAAGTCTATGGATCAATACAATTTTTTATGAGAAATAGCATTTATATCCCTCTTTCATTTGACATACTATTTTTTAAATTAAACCATTTCCCTTTATATATTTCTATATTATAAATATATATTAGGGTGGTCCTTATTTTTCATTATATAAAACTTGAACGGGCTACCCCCGGACTTTGTTCAAAACTATAAAAAAATAATTTGTGTTAAATATCATTAATTTTGGTCAACCCTAAGCCGTGCCTCAAGAGAGTGGAAAATTCAATCATGAGGGTAGTTTTTCAATAATTGTAGTTTATCTCAAAAGTCGTTTGAGCCCGATAAAAGAATTATAAATCTAGTACATGTTCACCTCTAGTTGTAATTACTGGTTATGGTGCAATACCCATTTGTACTATTGTTATCAGCTGCTGTTGCTGTTGTCAGTACATTTTAACGTTTCTGTGTTTTCAAATTCAGTGAGTGTTCTATCTAACTTGTAAGCTCATGTATTGTTTTTAACGTGCACTACGTACTGCTACACGCCGTAGATAGTTAATATCTATGCTCATACAATATGAATACTCTATTATTCATAATTTTACTCTCAAATAAAATCTATATTATTGCTGTGAAGAATGTAGATAATATTCTACAGTTTTAAAGTACCGCTATCTCATGCAGAGGATTCAATGGAATAAAGAATGTTCATCGGCTCGGACAACCAAGTCAATGTACAGCTCACGTGATTCACGAAGGAGGCAGATCGGCTATAACATCATTTAGTACCCAAACACCAGAGACAGTATTTTGTATCCCTCAGCTCATAAGGCCACAATCTCATTAAAATATATTTATTAATCATTTAAAGGTTTTATACTTTATTTTAGGTTAAGTACAACTTTGCCCTTATAATTTTTTTTTTCAATCAACCGTTCGTCTGTTACAGCTTGTTTAAGTTAAATGATTATGGACTTAATTTCTATTATTTTACTGTTATGAATACAGAAGTCACTATTTTTAATATAAACTAATTTTTATTAACCAAGATATGACATGTAAGGTAGTAATAATAATTTACGATACACTTATTGAGAGATAATAATAATAAATTCAAATCGGGCCTTAACTATATTATTAATAGTGCAGTCTATTGGTTTGTAAGACTGAAGAATAAATTCCTTTGAATAACCCAACTCTATGCGTAGTATAGTGACTCTTAAAATAATCGAATACTACGATAATGTTATCGTTTCATAAAGTAATTTTTATTTTTGTTGACGGATACGTATTAAAAGTAGTAACGTATCCTCATAAACTAATTTAAATTAGTTTATGTTACAAAATAGAAAATGAGTCACTCCTGTATTCAAAACAGTAAAATAATAATAGAAATTTAGTAAAATCATTTAACTTTAACAAGATGTAACAGACGAACGGTTGATCGAAAAAAAAAATTATAAAAGCAAAGTTGTTTGTAATTTTATTTTAAATCATAATAAAAAATTCAAAATAGGCGTTTCCATTTAAGAAAATTCAAGTTAATGTTTTTTAACCTTGAAGGGATGAAAAAAATGATGTTCTTACTACATATAAATTGTAGGGCTTTTTGAATCAAACAATATCTTCCTTACCAAAAATTGAAAATTTTCAGTAGTTAGCAAGAAAATGACCGTCTTATCCTTAATGTTTCACTCTGTATATATATATTCATATATTACACATATAAATCATAAAATTTGCAATCAGGATATAAGAAAATAGGGGATCATGTAGCTTTTGGAAAAATCCATCAATTTTTTAGAATTAAACACTATCTACAGATTTGTATCGAAGCGTTTTTTATGATAGTGATTTTAATCACTGTCAGATATCATTATACTGGACCCAACTTTGCCACGTCCCCACTGAGCTGAATTTTTTTTTAAATAATATCCAATAAAGAATTTTTTTAATAAAAATTTTTATTAATTTTTTTATAAATATATATTAATGACGTAATAATATAATTTAAAAAAATTGTCAAAAAAAATTATTTTAAAACTTTATTATTGGTTTATATTGTATAAATTTAGATATTTAAATAAATAAATGTCCTTTGAAAAACAATATATAAAACGTTAAAAATGAACGAATTTATTTTACTTGTTAAACGAAGTACATATTATTATATTTTACAATTTAAATATTCGGTTATTCAGGTAACTATGCTATAAAAACTTATTTTATACAGGCGAAATAAATCAAACTGCCAAATCTTATACATTTTGATACAATTAAAAATGCACTGTAATTATTTTTAAATAATTTATGCAATCTCAGACTACGTTAAAATAATGTTTTTTATTATATATTTTAAATATTAAAAATATTAATTGCATTCTTAAATTTTTTAAAAATTTAAAAATAGCCAATTTAAGAAATCTTTTTATAAAAACTTGTAATTGAACGATAACAATTTTAGGACAAATACTAGTTGAGTTACAAATACTTTAATACATTGAATGGGTATGTAGTGTAGGCAGAGTAACTCAGCTGTGTACATATAATACAAGGCCAGTCAAGCATATGAAAGTGTCATTTATCTATACATAAAATTGATTAATAACAAATATATGCTTATAACGTTATCTAAATCTGAGAAAATTGTTGAGAAAAATTACAACGTAATGATAATTGTAACAAAACTTATAAGAATTATAATTATCATTTATATTTGAGACACTAAGTATACATTGCGTATTGTGTGCACATGACACATTTAACATATTATAATATGCTAAATTTCTGATTTTACACACTATAAAGTGTTTTTTTAATAAAATTTAAGAGCTCCATATTATAATAATTCAGATTTAATTTTAATTTTAATGGTTGTATTAAATCATGAACTAATTATCTCACAGTGTAATACTGTATAATAATTTGGAGCTCCGAATAGCAATCCAGCTAATTAAAACGAATAATAATCTGTCGTAGTATTTTAATTATTTTTTTATATTCACTAGTTCTTATGAATCATTAGTATGACGAATTATTAAAAATAGAATACCATATATATTTTTTCTAGATTTGTCACTTTGGAAAAAATATGTATTTGCTATTTCAAATAATTTTGTCTACTGTAAGTAAAAAAAACAGCTATCTGAGGTCACGCCAGAGTTGCGACAAGTATAGATGATATCTGATTTTGATTAACATCACTATCACAAAAAACACTTCCATACAATCCTGTAAAATTGTATAATTATTTGCATATTTGTAATTTTACAATTGCCAAATAGTAAAAATTGCTAATTTGACGACCAATGTCTTATAGTAGAACAATAGTTGGATGTTCTTTTTTTAAATATTTTTGTATACTTCAAAATATTTAAATTTGAAATCTATAAAAATAACTCATTATGATAATTGTAAATAAAATTTTAGCTTCGTATCGAAGCTAAAAGGCGTAAAAGGAAGAGTGACAGTATTCATATGCTAGGCAACCGCGCATTTTTGTGGTGCCTCACTCTTGGTGAAATAAAGAAGAGCTCAACCTCTTCGACTAACAAATTAACTGGCCAAAAATATTAATTTAATAAGCATGTATGGGCATCATAAAAAAAAATGTTATAAATAAAATATTTATTAGTAGTTTTATGTAATATTTATGTCATTAATCTATAAAAAACAATACTCATAATCTTAAAATTCATAACACAATAAAAAAATAAATAAATTTTTTTATCTTTTAATTAAAAAAAATTCAATTTTGCAAAATATTATAATACACAATGATTATGATAGTTGAGTAAATAAAACGTGAAGGGGGATATTGCCCACTACAGAGGTCCATGTTATCACATAATAAGTTATTATACATCTATTTTATCTTATTAATATACAATTTTAAAATAAATACAATATACAATTATAAAATATAATTTTTCTACTTTTATTTGGTTTAGTTTGCCAATAATTGCAAAATTTTCGAAAACATTTTTTTTTACTATTTATCACTAAAAGTATTTAGGAGGCTCGTCTTAAATTTCAGGAAAAAACACTTAAAAAAAAATATATATTTACCAAAACATTCTTCTAGTATATCTGCGTTGAAGTGTTTTATTATACATCATAAATTTCACAATGGTGTTGTTAATCATTGACAGATTTTAATCCGTATATGATTCCCGTATATGCATAATACAAACTGTACTACTATTTTTTTTATAGGGACTAATATGTTCAACATCAGCAGTGTATAAACAAGTTAAATATATTGATAAGTGGTCAGTAAAAAATTTAGAAAAAGCTCAACGAGCATTTTATAATTGCACTGCTAATTTAAATATAAATGAATACATATATAAAAAAAAAGGTAAGGCAGTTAAATAACTTTGAAATTCTTATAAATTTAGATTAATTCAAATCACGTTGATTGCTAAATTTATAAAAAAAACGTTCATTTATTTATATTAACTATAAAATTGATAAAATATTCACAATTGTATACGAAAAAAATTTTTAAATAATACTAATATACAAACAAAGCCGTTATAAAAATAATACATCAGTAATATATTAATTAGTGTTTATGATTACGACTTATAATAGATTTATTTATTTTTCATAGCACTCAATACATAGTACTATTATAGCTAAACAATCATCTTTTATTACTATTATTTTTAAAGATCAGTTTGTAAAAATAATGCAACAACTTTTGATGCTTTATGAGAATCGATCCCTAGATAATTGGGTACAAGGACTAACGTCATCAATGAATGAAATTATTTTGTAATGATAAAGATAATATGGTCGTTACTTCAGAATTTTCGGAAGGATAAATAAATAAGTTTTAAACGAAAAAATGTAAATAAGTGTTGCACTACCGACGACAACTTGAGGTCGCGGTTAGTTGAGAGAATAATTTTGACGAGGGAATTTTAAATTTTATGTTGAATCCATAATATTAAAATAGGCTCTATCTTTCTCTCTCTCTAAAAATCGTCGCCTTTTTATATTATTTTTAATTACCTTCATCTAACGATGTTGTCGTCAGTACTTTTAGTGAGTTTCAGTTTGTTGTATTAAATTTGAACATGACGTAATTATTATTTTAAGATAAGATGCATAGTATACAATGCTCAATTTAACAAATAAATACATAATAACTAGTGTCCAATAGTGTAAATGTATGTCAGATAAATTATTTCTTTGCATACAATCGTTATTAAATATAAATTATTAATTTTTCATTGATAAGCGTAAGATGCGAAATACAATGCATTTGTGCATATTACAACATTTAATTATAATAATCATAAAATAGAGTGATTTTTGAAATTAGGTTAGATGAATTTTGAATTTTGAAAGATGGTTTTATCATCAAATTTAATTTACCATTTTTTTTTTTTGTTTTGTATACAATAATAATATTATAACGTAGAATGCAATACATATCTTCAAAGTCTATTAATTTTAAGTGAATAAATTCATGTAAATGAAATTAAAAGTATTCATGTATATAATACTTTTGTTAAACAGTTTCATTTTCTCATTCTCTATATCATCTAATTGTTATTTATTTTTTGGTCCACTAAATTTTCTTGTCAAAAGAAAAATTAACGAGAAAATAGTGAATTTATTTGGATTATTTTTAATGTTATACATTTATTTTAAGTTACGACTATCTATTTTAAATAGTATTAATTTTAAATGAATTAATCAGATGAATAATTAATTTATTATTATTTTACAGACACATTTGATGGATTTTTAGATAAGTTGAGGGGCGATATGATTATCGGTAGAATGAAAAATCCCATTGAAATGAGTACCAAAATATTAGAATACTTAAGTTTTGACACGGCACCGCCTTTTGCTCTAGGCTGGCGCTCACCCGTGTCTCTCTCGATATCAGCCGTCCAGCTATTAATATGACAATCGGTTGTCATCGGTCGTCACCCCGCCCTTGACACTGAGATAAGGCCGCCGCCGAATATGGATTACCGAGATTGCGTTCTGTTCCGTTTCCGACGTACACCTTAACTGGTTGCTCGATTCTGTTTTTTTTGTTGTCTTTTTCAGCCTTTTGGTTAGTTTTTTTTCGTTTACGCTTTCGCTGTCTGTATCGCGACTGTTATTTTCTCCTACGCGATAGACAGATACTATCAGCATACAATTGTGCGGTGTGTCATAAGTGTACGCATTAATAAAAATTGTTTGAGCGAACTAACTATAGATATATAAATACGCCACTATTCATTTATTTGATACATTACATACACGCCAAACCGTATATTGGATTACGCATTAACTATTACATACACGCCAAACCGTATACTGGATTACGCTATAACTGGCTCCCCGTTGAAAGGAATCTCAACCGGACGAGGAAAATTAAGGTAAGAGGCTTTGAGCCGATTCAGTTTTATTTCTAATTATATTAGATTTTAGTTTTAACGTGAAACGGTGAAGTCTCCCTTATAAATTTATTAGTTCATATAGTTATTTGAACGGATTTCACTGGTGACAGCAGTGAATTTTTACCTGGGTTATTCACAGTTACGTGTTAGCGGTATTAGATTTAGCCTGGGCTCTGGGAAAATTTTCTTTAAATAAAAATAAAGTTAGAGCAGTTTATCTAATAGAATCCGCCGTAGGTATTGTCGTTTTAAAACTGTTGGTTACAGTTATTATAAAGACCTTATTGATAGCGACAAAAGTGAATTTCCGGCCGATAGTTACAGTCTTTTGGTAGATAAAAATCGTATATTTTCGTCTGACCTTGTCAAAGCGGCCGATTCTCAGGTAAACGTTATTATTATTGTTCACTCGCTGCCATATCATATACGGCGGCCCCGGGCCATTTTATCGCGGTCATTGTCACAACAATAGCAATAATAATAACACTTGTTTTCTACAGCAATAGTAAATTTTGACCGTACACGGAGATATTGTTTATCTCCGCTATTATAGTAACATACATTTGATTATTAGTATTGTAAATAAACAAAATATTCACGGTCAATATGTCGGGGAAAACTTTAGCACAAATGAATTGCGCTGAATTACGTCGCGAATGCGCTTTTAGACAGCTACCATGCTACGCGACAAAACCCAATATGCTAGTTATGCTGGAGGAAAACATACGTAGCGAAGGGAGGGACCCAGCTACCGAAATTTTACCACCCCGTACGCCGCTCGATAGCGAAAATTCGGTCCGCGAACCCGAAGTGGTGGTTGTAGACAACTCCACGGACCGCACCCGCGAATTCGACGCGAACTATCAGCGGCCCGGCGTAGCACCGTTACCGGAGGAACATCCGGTGAACCTCGCGCTACACACATCAGACGACGAGTCTGATGTCGACCAACCGGGGGATATTACGCGCGCAAGCGGTCAACTAGGCGTGCCATACGTTGAAGACGTATACGTTGCCCGCTCGATAGCGCACGCGGCAGAACAAGTCGGGGCGATCCGACAGAATATTCGCGATATTTCGAATAACGCGCGGATCGAGGCACGGATGACTGAACTAGAACGCTCGCTATCGCGTATGTCATTGGAACAGCGACAGATTTCAAATATGCTGGAGCGACTCAGTCAAAATATGCTGCCGTCCCCACACGTTGATGCACAACCGACTATTCGTCAAGTTAACGTCGAACGAAACGATAGTCGACGATCGGACGCGCATCGCGTTACATTCGGTCCATCGGGAGCGACGGACCCGACACGCCACGACGCAACTTTACACGAGCGCCTCGCGGACATCGAAGCGCAGGAAGCCCGCAACATGAGACGTTCGTACGGACAAGCGTCGCGCGCGTCGCTACCACGAATGTGTAGCACGGGTTGGCAAGACGAACATATTCCGCGCTCTCATACATATGAGAACGAGCCGACAGATTTTTCGTTTACGCGCCAGCCACGGGAGGGGCAATCCAACACAACCGACGGTCGTCGGTCCTTCAATGATTTGTCGCCTACCCGCAGCTCGCGGTCTGTGCTGGTACCTTACCACGACCTACGCACCGTACGCGCCTGTTTACCTGAATATTACGGGAGAAACGAAGAGGACCCACGGGAGTTTCTAGACAGAGCGGAGGATCTACTCTGTCAGGGCGGTATACACCCAACTGCGTGGGTGAACATCGTCGTCCCGTTTTTGAACGACAGGGCAGGTGATTGGTGGCGAGCTATAAAATTAAACAATATGCCATGGGCGGAATTTAGGTCCGAATTACTCGAGGAGTTCGACAATATCGACATCCGGACGGCGCTCGAGACGGACTTAAAAACGACGCGACAGGGCCCCCGACAAACGTTAACTGAATTTATCATTCATAAACAACGATTGGCCGCGCGAGTACGTTGTGGTTTACCAGAACAACAACTTGTGCGACAGTTAACGGGGCTTTTACGGGACGATTACCGCGCTATGATACGGTTAATGCACCCAGCGTCTTTCGCCGATCTACGTGAAATAGCGCACGACGTAGATAAAACCGCGGCTCCTCGGTACGCTCCGCCAGCGTCCCGACAGCCAGCCGATCTGCATCCGCGGCATACCGCGCAACCAGCGGCCCGACAGCGAGCGGGTTATGCACATGCGGACGCACCGCCTACCCCGTGCCGATATTGCGGCGAGCGACACTGGCACCGCCAGTGCCCAAACCGGCCGTCGGTATCGGGAAACGGCAATCGGCTAGGAGGGAATTAGTCCGCCCCTCCAGCCTACAACAGTTTCAAACAGGGCGCAGCGTTTTAGACGACGTCTCGTTCAAAACGCGCCCTGCCGCTTCGCAATTTTTATTCGGTAACATACCACACAGCACGACCGTCGCGCAGAACACCGAATCTAACGGCCCTTACGAGTTACATACCGCCAACGATCTTGGCACTTTTTCGGCACCGCACCCCTCTTATCGGAATGGAGGGGACGCCGCGGTAAATTCGGATGTAATCAGGGTATCGGAGTTCGAACACGCTGCCGACACGAACGAACAAAGCGCGAGTCAAGTGTTCGAAATTTTTTTATTCCATCATGAAATTTTTCAGCATTATTCTTTGCCAATTAACAACATTTTTTTTTTGTAAAAAATTATACCATTCAAGAATATAAAATGTATGGGTCCACTTCAGTATAATTTCAATTTGATATTATTGTCAAAGACTCATTTTCATTGTGATTCTCAAGACTAACAAATTTGTTTTTCGAAATTACGATAAAAAAACGGAAAATTTTAATGAACTCTACTTTATTTTGTCAGTCTAATAAACCTTCTTAGAAATAAATAACTGTTGTATAATTTTATAAAAAAAAAAAAATATTATGAAGATTAAAATTGTATTATTCAAAGTTAAATTATATTTTTGATCATACAATAATTACAAACTATAGTATAAATATTTACATTATACTGCTTTTTATTTTTTCTTTTTAATTATAAAAAATATTTTCAGTTTGAGAAAAATAGTGATATGAAAATATTGATATATTTGCGACTTGTAAAAGGAAATCAAATAATGAATGATTGCTTACAACATTATGGCTTTTTAAAACCTTGTGTTTGGGATGAAGATAAAACAAAAGGATATTATTCAAGTAATTAAACTTTGATCACTATCTTTTCAATATAATTAAATTATCTAATATTTTTAACTTGCACAGATCGTGAATACTCACCACCATCACATTCAGATATAAGTAAATCATCAAAAATAAACTAATTTTATCTAAGCAATATTATTAAATTAATTTAAAGTTATAATTTTCAGAAAGACGAAAAATTGAATCTGACCAATATTTTCGGAAATACACTGTCGAGTTACTAAATGATGTCATTTCTGGTACTCATACGCCAAATTTTATGGTCAAAAAATTGATGTACAAAGTACCAGAATCATATCACGATCAACCTTTTGCAAAGTACTGTGTTGCTGCTTATTACACGTATTTGGTTACTGATGATCCTATTTTAGATCAGATATTGCAACTAGTTGAAAAATTTATTACCGAAACCAATAATGTGAAGTCCGAATTTTTGCCTTAATTCAATAAAAATATAATTCCGATTTGATTAAAAATTACTTTTACTTGTTACCTAAAAAATTATAACAACATATTATTCTAATTATCTTTATCGTAATATTAATTAGTGGCGCCACTATTGGGAGTGTTTTAGCATCATCAGACTTGAATTTAGCACCTCCAGGTTCTAGTACCTACCCTGAATTTTAATGACTATAGTTTCAACTAAGTATTTTTATTTATACGAATATAATATTCGTTTTTATCTATATCAGTTATTTTTTCTTATCTTGCATTATATTTATATTATTCTGCTAGCAGATAAAAATGTTATTGTGAGTATATTGGAACATTTCAATACTTAGTCACCAATTAACCACAATCGTTAGTTCGGTTACACAGCCATCTATATTAAAGTGGTGGATTTGTGGATATGGGGGATGGAGTTCGTCAGCTTTGTAAACCTTTTAAGCACTCTTGAATTTTTGCTCTAGTTGTACCTGTTGTTTATAATTAAAACATTTAAATTATTTGTTAACTGAAAATTATTCTTGACAGTACATAACTGTATAAAATATTAGTATTTGGGATATTTGTTTTACGCATTTGTGTAAAAGTTATCAAAAATGTTTAAACTAAACAAAAAACCCAGCAAAGTGGGGACGTGGCATAGTTTGGTCAAATATAGTATCTGACATTGATTAAAATCACTATAATAAAAAACGCTTCGATACAAATCCGTAAATAGTGTTTAATTTTAAAAACTTGGTGGATTTTTCCAAAAGCTACATGATCCCCTATTTTCTTATATCCTGATTGCAAATTTTATGATTTATATGTGTAGTACATGAATATATATATATATACAGAGTGATACATTAAGGTTTTCTTGCTAACTATTGAAAATTTTCAATTTTTGGCAAGGAAGATATTGTTTGATTCAAAAAACTCTACAAATTATATGTAGAAAGAACATGATTTTTTTCATCCCTTCAAGGTTAAAAAATATGAACTTGAATTTTCTTAAATGGGAACGCCTATTTTGAATTTTTTATTAGGATTAAAAATAAAAATACAAACAACTTTGCTCTTATGATTTTTTTTTTCCGATCGACCGTTCGTCTGTTACAGCTTGTTAAAGTTGACACGGCCCGCGTCGCTTCGTTATACACGATACCCCGCGACTCGTGCCACCTTTATAAGCCCTACTATGAGTACTTGACTGACCAACACCGCGTTTTATACGCTACGATGCAAAGTCCAGCAAAATGCCGCACGGCCGACGACGACCCGCCGCAAATGATACGTTGAGTCTCCTTGCCGTTGTAAAAAGTGACAACGTCACCAACCGAACCGCACCCGCGCACCGTCGCCTACAACGCTGCTAACCTTTTGTCGCCCGAAGAACACGCCGGACATTGCGTCGTCGACGCCAGCGAAAGTGCCGCGATATTATGCGAAGATCATTATTACTGTGTTTATCTTTTCGGTTTTTTTTATTTTTGTTAAAATAATCTGTTGAAGCTCATTTAATAAACGGCCCACGGGTCTCTACCCTCAAAACCAGTGTCGACCACATTTTTGCGACGTAAGTCGTGTCAAAGTTAAATGATTTTGGACTAAAAATTTAGTCCAAAATCTTTTATGTGTAACATAAATTAATTTAAATCAGTTTATGAGGATACGCTACAACTTTTAATACGTATCCGTCATCAAGAATAAAAATTACTTTGTGTAAACAATGATTACGATAACATCATCGTAGTATTATTATTCCAAAAGCTACATGATCTAATATATAAATATATAAAGGGATATGGTGTTATTTTAAAAATAGTGTGTCCAATGAAAGAGGAATATAAATATTATTTTTCATAAAAAAATTTGTATTGATCCATTCATTTTTCAATAATTTATAGCATTATAAAGTTAAAAATATTAAGTATAAAATTGAGAATTTTCACACAAAAATAGCATTCGGTAACTATTTTCATCGTAAAGACAAAATAAAGACCAAATTTTTTTTTTTCATAATTAAGTATATTATATAAGCTTCAGTTTAAAGTGTCATTATTTCCGGAACACTTTCAAAAGTTAAGTTGAAAAAGTTAATTTTTTTTTAAAAAGTTGACATTTGGAATCCCTTTCTGTGGGCAGGTAAATGGTTAGATTTATAAAAAAATATATTAGATGATAGGTAAAGTCATCATGTAGTTATATAAGAAAAAATTATATTAATTTGGTTATTTTTGAAAAAGTTATGACATTTTTAAGTAAAATAATTGAAAAAATGTTTAAATAAGCGAATTTCAACGTGTGTGTTGCTATAGTTCAGAAATTTTTTATGTTTTTATCATAAACTTCTTAAAGGTCATTGACAATAAAAATAATTTTTTTTTTTTACCAAAAAAGTACCAGAAGAAAAAAAAATATTATTTTTCTTTCAGAAACTTTTACTTATGTTCTTTCAACCCATGTCATATTTGAATCGATTTATAATTTTTTTTGTATCGTTTTACGGTCTTGAACACGCGTGGTTTGCTGAAAATAGTCAACTTTATCATCTCATTACACAAAAGTGACTGAACGAATTTTTTTCAAATTTACATAGTATTTACATAGAATTCTACATGCCACTGTAAGCAACTGTTTTTAAAATTATTGTTTTTGTTTATTAAGTACCACTTGCTCCAGCTAAAATACACTATTTAGGTCTCAATTCAGCAAATTTAGATAAACAATTTTGTTATTTGGATTATCCGTTTTGTAATTTATATACAATTCTTTTTAGTTAAACAGAATCAATCTTTTCTGTTTAATAATATTTTTACCATCAGCATCTCTTACATTCATGACGTTTTTCATACCGGGATATATTCTTCTATAATCGTCATTATAAAAGATAAAAGTCACCAACATTTTTATTACTACTTTCAAATGAATTTCTCGAACAGTTTTTGAACGACAATGTCAGATAAAACACCATGAACGTCGACTAATTTTTTCACAAAGTATTCTGACACCAAACTCTTCACGAATTATTGAAACTGACTATTTAGGCAACAGACTTAAAATTCTTATGTGTCGAATCATAAAATCGAAAATATTTAATAATATTTGATCATTAACATCGTAAAAAGATTTGTGATACACTTCGCTCACTGCTAAACCAACTGAGCACCATAATAATAAATTTAAACTAATTATAATCAAAAACAATAGTTGAAATCGATTTTATTAATATACAATTTACTAGTCACAACAATAAAAGTTACACATTTATAGATTACCAGTTTTAAATACTTTTTAACATTGTATATTCACGAAGAAATTGATACAAAAGTCACTATGAGTAATATGATAAAATGAAAACCATAAGTATAATAAAGAAAACTGTTTCATAGACAGTTTTATACTTTCATTAGTATTGAACAATAACAATAATTTAAAAAATAGTTGCTTACAATGGCATGTAGTATTCTATTTTCGTGTAGAATAAATGCAAAAACTAAAAATTAAGTGTTGAAAATTACGTAGTTTGTGGATTTTCCATAATACGCAAATTATAAATTTTGTAACTTCTATAAGTGGCGTTAAAATTATTTCTGTATTATCAAATTTTCACCAGACGTTTTAATTGCCTAAAGGAAAGTACAATGTAAAATTGAAAAAAATTCGTTCAGTCACTTTTGTGTAATGAGTTGATAAAATTGACTATTTTCAGAAAACCACGCGTGTTCTAGACCGTAAAACGATACAAAAAAAATTATAAATCGATTCAAATATGATATGGGTTGAAAGAACATAACTAAAAGTTTCTGAAAAGAAAAAAAAATTTTAATTAAAAATTTTTTGACCTCCAAATTTTGCTATTAAAATACAGCAAAATTTAAAAAATTTCAATCAAAATTTCGATGTTAAAAAAAATTCAAAATTCATAAACTTAAGAATGAAATTGAAGTATTACTTAATACAAGTAAAATAGTGCTAGTTCCACAGTGATAGCTTATATGTATGTGAAGTTATAGGCTCTAGAACATAATGTGTTTTTTCATGTTTTTAATTATAAAAAATGCGCTATCGGGTAAAAAAACAATAAAAAAAAAATTATTTTTGTTGTCAATGACATTTAAGAAGTATATGATAAAAATTTCTAAAATTATAACTCAACACTACGCGTTAGTCGACTATTTCTCTGAAATGTTTCTTTAAATTATTTTTTTTTGAAAACGATAATGTGTTTCTAAGAATATAATGTATAAATATCCTATGTTATGGAAGTGACGAGTATTATTGATATTGATATTATCGATAATACTATTTCTGTATAATTTTATTTTTTGTTTTCGTACCCGTACATGCGAGTGTATCATCAATATATATATAAACAAATTTTTATTCTTTATAATGAAATAGAAACATTTTAAGGTTCAAAATTTTTTTNTTATAATATTAACACTGACCCAGATTTCGAAGGTTAGGGTACAATAAAAAATTTTATTCATGGAAATCGTGTAGCTAAGTATACAGGGTGTTCAGTAAGTCAGGAAACGGGTTTCTATTGTTCTTATTGTTACAAACAATGAGAACAATAGAAACCCGTTTCCTGACTTACTGAACACTCTGTACATGTGTTATACATAAGGGATTACAAATACGGGTAGCTAATTAATTTTTATGACAATATTCACATGTATATAGCCTTTATTATCAATAGTAGTAAGACACAGTTGTAAGTTTATAAATACAATAACTGCCAATACAGAAATTATACCTATTGATAGTCATAATTGACAATAAACACTATGTGACTGTGACAGCGAGCGACGTCATAAAAATCTAAAAAGTGAAAAATAAATATAATTTTAATAACTAAAAAAACATGCTTCTAAGGTGCATAGAATTAATAAGCGCCCTACGTTTTTTTTTACAATAATACTAGTAATTTACGTTCATTATTATTTTAAGCTTATTTTAAAAATTATTTTTTAATTTTTAATTTAATTAATTTAAATTAATTTAAAAAAAAAATTTAATTTTTTAGTTTGATGTGCTTTAAAAGCATGTTTTTTTAGTTTACTAAACTATATTTATTTTATAAAAAATAATCAGCGTTTGTTACCGTAGAATAAATGCAGAAATATTCAAATTTTTATAAAATTTAAAATGTTACAGAAAATTAACTACTAAACATTAATGAGAATTTCTTTCACCAAATGATTTTTTAAAATCTATTCTAAAAAATTGCTATTTTGAATTGTAAATAATACATAATCAAGTAGTTAAATAGTGCAACCAGCGAGGGTTGGATAGGACAAAATTGGAACAGGTGCGAATAATAGAGTTAAAAATTAATAAAAGGAAAGAGGGGTGGAATCCCCAAGATGTCCTAGTAATACGACGGAGGAAATTAGGCCAGCGCAATGCAAAGGAAAAAAAAACTAGAAATAAGGAACCCTAGCTAATGTAATATACNGGTCTGACACTTTTATATATATCTTAAATTAAAGCTAATGTAATATACTTTAATTTGAAAAAAAAAAATTTGACCTCTGGACTTTTCTTCACGGCGAAAATGGCTACCGAATGCTATTTTCGTGTAAAAATGCTCGATTTTATTATTTATATTATATTTAACTTTATAATGCTANGTAAATTCTCGATTTTATTATTTATATTATATTTAACTTTATAATGCTATAACTTATTGAAAAGTTTATGGATCCACACAATTTTTTTATGAGAAATAATATTTTTTAATAAACAACCCTTTTTCATTCGACATACTTTATCTTAATTGAGATATTAAGGAACCAGCAGATCAAGTAGCTTTTGGAATAAAACACCAATTTTTTTAAAATTAAACACTATCTAAAGATTTGCATCGAAGCGTTTATTTTTGATAGTGATTTTAATCACTGTCAGATATCATTATACTTGATCCAACTATACCACGTCACAACTGTGCCGCGACCCCCCTGTGCTGGGTTTTTCTATTGAATTTGTACGCCATTGACCTTTGCAATGTTCACATATAATAGAACATTTAAGCCCTGTTTTTCGGCAGCTCCTATTTTTACCAGCTCCAGCACCTGACTAAAGGGTAATACGCTTTATGGCAATTACCTTTATCATTACCAGAAATTCCGGTGGCAATTGACATAATATAATTGTTCTTTGGGAATGTTCAATTTAGTGTTTAGTTGGGTTTAAACAATATAGCGTCAAATCAATTACCTACTCTATCGGTTGTATTTTAATATACACTACACTTTAATGATACTATAAATAAATAAATTCACAGATATGCATTTATAACATTGTGTCTATTGTAATTATAACATGATAAAAAGTAACCGAAAATGGAAAATAAATTTTAGTACTCATATTAAATGTAATGGAACTCGAAAAATATTTGTTTAAATGAAAAAATTAAAAGAACTTTTGTACCTAACTTTTTTTTGTAAATTAAATATTTTTTAAAAAAGTTATAAAAGGTCATATTTATTAAACTTTTGTAAGGCTGTAAAAAAAAGCACAATTCCAATCAATGAGGACTATTAGTATATCATTATACATATCTTAATTGAACTTAAAAAAAAAAAATTTGGTTGGGAATTTTTTTCGTCATTTTTCCTTTGTTGACTGATCTAAATAGGGGAAGGAGGAAAAATTTTTTTGGATGTGTTGAGAATAGGTATAGAGGCATTCGTGGCTTTCAATAGAATAGTAATAAAAGAATTATAATATGATAAGGGAGAAGAAGAAAGACAAAAGTTGGGCAAATAAGCAGCGATGTAGGCAGAATATAAGCACCAATCAACTTTGATGAAGTTGAATTTAAGTGCAGAAATAACGCGAGAAGGATCAACTGTGTGATTAGATAGGGTTGTGTATAGGAGATAATAATAAAAAAGTGGTTGCTACTTTAAGTACAGTCATGGATGACCCAAGATAAAGATAAGAATAGAGAAGGAGACATGATCGATATATCAATGGCTATGTCTTCATAAGGAGGACGGTTCGCAAGAGTTGGAGAGCCATTGTTAATAATATTTAGACCAAAGAGATTGAAGAGAAAATTATATTACCCCGATAATTACTATCAACGCAGCCTCATGCGGGATGCTGCCACTGATGTCATCCCTTAAACGGAGTTAGGAGAAATTAGACGGAAAAAAGAATTGATAATAGTCAGACTAGTGTTGGAGGAGGGGGAATATATAAGAACCAGAAAGTAATAGGCGAGTTTGAAAAGGCGGTAATAATTTTTTATATCTTTTTCAAGACGTGGATAAATTGTTTTCTTTTAATGTTACTATATTTTTACATTTAATGTTAAGAAGGTTCGAAATATTATTCACTACTCTAAGCAGCTTTTATCATAGGCAATTAATTACTTTAATAACGATTGAAAAAATAACCAAAGATCCTCTTCAACATTTTAAAGAGAATAAGAATATCCTTTTAATAGGCTAGACTCTACACTTTACTTTCATTATTTCAGATCAATAAAATATATCTGGCTAAAGAGTTATAGGACGCTTATGGTGTTGAGGTAAAAGCGACCACATTGAACTGGGATTCTAAAGCAGGGTTGGATTAAAAATATTTTTAATTATTTTATAATAATTTAAACTCTATACTATTTTTATGTTTACTTTTTTTAATATTAAAACGTTATTCAATTTTTTTTTGTTTCATGTTTTAATGATGCAACATTTTTATATTTAACTTAATGTTGAAATTATAAAATTATTTTTCAATTTTCACAGCATTACAAAAAAATCCTCTACTTGATGGTTATTTAGAAAAATAAAATTTTGATGTCTTCTTCCAAATTAAAAGAAAAATTTTGGTTATTTAAAATGGTCTATTTTTAAGGTAAAATGCAAATTACTTTTTGATTGCTCTTTATATGTGATCAAAGTTTTAGAAATTAACATAAATAAATAAAGATATATAAATTTGTTAAAAAATGTATTTTGTTGACAGTCAGTAAAATCATTAAGTGTTTATTACACAAATAATAATTATGGTAAGTTTGATTATCATAATATATTATTTGTAGTAGTATTAGGATAAGGTATAATAAACCTATTTTATCAAATTATTAACATTATTTTCAACTACTATAAAAAATTAAGTATACATAATAATAAAAAAAATGAAAATAAATAAGATAATTTTACAAATAAGTAACAAATTAACACAACATTCATTCTCCTATTATCCTACACAAATTAATAAAAATTTTAAGTAACTATAATAAACAATATCAAAAAATTAAATAAATATAAATTAATTACAATAACTATTACAAATTTAACAAAAATTGACACTAAAACAAAATTTGTGATGTTTGCCTTAAAAAAAAAAAACATTTTTAATAATATATAACATGTTATAAGTTCATTATTAAGTAATTATGAATTACAATTTGTTTACTTACAAATATATGTATATAAACAGACAATTTTATTTATAAATTATAGGATTTATTATCCATTATTAGTGTTAATGTAACATTAGTTATTAAAACATTGATGTTTGTAGATTATAAGAAACGGATTTATACTCTTAGTATTATACATAAAGTACATAAGTATAAAAGCAAGAATAGTGTACATTACTATTTCAAGCATATTTTTTGATATAGTTTGATATAAATGAATATATAATTTATCATGGTAAAATGTATTGTTTTAACTTTTAGATTAATAGTAATTAGAAAGAATTTAATTTTTAAATCAACATTAGTCTTAAAATTACAAACCCCAAAATACTTAAAATATCCTTTTAGTAAATTTGATTGATGGGGAATGAGTTGAATATAAGAAAAAAAAAATACATTATTGCTTCCATTGGCGTTGACCTTAATATTTAATAAAAATAAAAGAAAATAGGTACATAAATATATTTTTCCTTTTGTTACAGATCTTTTACTTAAAATGGAAGAATTTGAAATGTTGTTAAACTGCTGTTTTAAAATATTTAGGCATAAGAGATTCAATGAAAAAAATTTTTATATTACTAGTATTACTACACTTTTGACTAGAATTTAGAAACCAGAAGTTAATTTGATAGCTTAGGTCTTTTATATTTTGTGAAAGTTAATGTTTTAAAATACTGGATAGATAATTTGGCACTTTTCGACACAATTAAATGCAAACAAATACCATTACAAATAAAATTAAAGGAAATAAGGATATTCTAAACTTAAAATTAAAAAATAATAATTTAATGTTTATACACTACGAATTTTACACAATATATTTAATATTACAATCAAGTGTATCAATTAGAATGGCAGTGAACTTTTGTGTTTCTTAATATTAAATAAAAGTAGAAACCTAGTCAAAAAAGGAAGAATGAAGATTTCATTAGATATTATTTATGTTAATAAGTTAATATATATAATTGAAAAACTATACTAGATTGAATAATGATCAACACAATTTTTTTTAGATTATAACAATAAAACTGATATTACAACTGGTACTAAAAAATAAATACATATGAAATTATTCATTATGTGACAAAGTAATATTGATAGGGTAATTAACCCTGAATACTTAGTATATGCAAATACCCTGAATGTTATAGGGTAACAGGTATGACACTCAAGAATAGCATATGAGTAACCTGTAAAGCTTAAAAATTAAGGATATAAAAAAGGCAATGATGGTTGTCAAAAAATGCATGATATGTACCATATAGACAGATAGAGATGGTGAAAATAATTTTTTACAAATAATAGATTTGTATATTAATATTGAAAAACACAACTTTACGATTTGCGAAGTATGAGTATGTACAAAGTTAAAAAAGAATACTATATATTTATTTATATTGAGATTTGGTCAATGATGAAGAAATTTAGCTTAATTCATAGTATTTGACTTAATACCAATTATACATTACTTATTAATTATTAGGAAAAATATTGACGGGAAGACCATATATTATTTATGATTCATTATTAGTCAGCTTGAATAAACTTATATAGTATTGCAAAGTTTTACAAATATCATTATTATACATAATAAGTTTCTATGTGCAAATTTTTAAATCGTCCAATATTTATAATGTCAGTCTACACACAATGCATAAATTATGTGATTGTTTCTTCAATGAGGGCCTGTAAAAATTTTGATTTTTTAAGTAATATTTACACATTTTCAACAGTAAGTGGTTAATTAAATGTTAAAAAAAAAAAAATTACCTGAGAAAGATGTAGCCAAAATTTCAACTGGTAATGACCCACGTCGATGTGCTAAAAATGAGTCCATAGAATGGCCAGTTGAAAGTAAAACATCAAGACCTCCAGAGCTACGTCGTTTTATTGACTTCCTTCGTCTCCTTCTACTACCAGGGCGGCTACCATCTGACCCCCTTCTCTCTAAAACACATTTCATTTTACTGTAATTATTTTTATTACTACACTATACTGTAAATAATAATAGTGACAACTTAATGAAGTAGAATATTATTAGTATTATAAGTAATACTACTATACTTATAAAAAATTTATAAGTGTATAACTACAATGAGGCTTGAACACATTATGTTCAATAGTTTTAAAGAGAGATGCCACAATTAACAAGTGGAATTAAGAAAATTTGTTTAAAATAAGGTAGTTGATTGAAACTAAATTTACAAATAATATTACTAATAGAAAAATTAATGAAAAAAATTAAATAAAATGATCAGTTTTACATCTTTCTATTTTCCAAACTTAACATATTACAGAGAAGGTGTTCCTCTTTCACATGTTGGCCAGATTGTATCAGAAGCCAGACACTATCAATGAGAAAATCATATGAAAAATTTTGTTGGCACCCTGGGGATTGAAACTAGAACCCCGTACGATGAAACATACATTTCTACCTATTAGGCCAGGACGACCCCCTTACTAATAGAAAAATTAATATGAAAGAATACTATTAATTAATAATCAATTAAAATTTATAATACAATAACTGTAATAATATAATGTCCAACATTCAAAAATAATCATTTTCATGCACTATCTTAATAAATATCATTTCTAATAAATTATCTTTAAAAATTTTTTTTTCAATAAAATTATCAGCTTAGTACAAATATTAAAATAAAATTCAAGTTAATTAGAGTATATTTTTATAGACTTTTTATCTAAAAATATGAAAAATATAGGGGAAAAATGGTAATTGTTTATTTCTGTACATTTTTCAGGAAAGCAAAAAAAAAAAAAAAATAGCGAACATCATATTAAAATACCTAAAAAGTTGTAAAAATTATAATTTTGTTTTCATTCATTCAATGTTTGTGTATTATCATTAAAAGAATAATAATTTAATTTATATCCTTTTAATGATAAAACAAAAAGAAACATTTAAATATTAGAAAAATAAAAATGTTTTTTATTAAATGGATTTGATTACTCGATACTACTGCTAATGAATTACAATATAAAAAAATGAACTTTTACAATTTTTTCCCTGAACACTTAAGTTATTATTATTTCCAAATTATTGATTCAATTTTGAGAAATAAAGCATTAAACCTAAAAATGTTCTATTTTAGACTTTTAATCACAATAATATAACATAAAATACAAACTACACATTTATTAATTTGTTTTTTTTTGTAATATTAAAATATGTACCTAAAATATTCACTAATATTAAATATTAAAAGTTCCATTTGTGTGCAAAAATGTTTTTATTTAATTTTTATAATAATAAAATAACAGCTAAATTAAAATGTAAACATATAAAATTTATTTATATAATGTATTATTTTTCGATACTGGAAACTAATGTCATCATATTACAATAACAAGTTCTTTTAAATATTATTAGCATTAAAAAAATAAAATGAACCCATCACTATTAAAAGAATTTAAAACAGATGCTAAAGTATTAATGGGTTGAAAATGTTTTGATCTATAACTTTATCCTAATTTCCCTTAATCTTGTTAAGGAGTGATTTATCTCACCTGGATAAGAAGTATAAATAAGAGGTGAGCTGGATAACCCAATATTAGAATCATATGGTAGCGATGAACGCCTCACATCTTGTTTGCGACCATTCGTGCTAAGCGGACCTGTGGCCACCACCTTTAAAAAGGCACCTGTGATAGAAAGCCATGCATTAACCTCAAGTGCATATGTACATTGATAATAAAGCGTTGTGATCACAATCATTCACAAAAAGTTAGTAAAAAAATTAGTTAAATCAAACATATAAACCAAAAAAAGAATAAATATTTGCCTAAATTAGTGATATATATATATTACTTTGTTTAGAAAAATCTGAAGGCACAGATCCACGTCTAGGAATTGCTTCAATACCTTTTGTAGTTAAGCCCGAGGAATCACCTATTATTGTTTCAACAGGAGCAGAACCCCGTCTCCTTGTCAAAATCTTTAAATGTATTAAGTTAAAAAATAATTAATTAGTAAATAGTTCATTAAAAAGCCAGAAAATTTAAGTTACTTGACTCATATGATTGTTATTACGCCTTATTTCTGAAGTGGTTCGTGTTACTGGGTCAACATTTTCTTTTTCTGAAAATCTAGCAAGTTTAAACACCCTGTCTGTGTCAAGAATTGAATCTCGTTTTATTCCATTACTACCATAACTCTCACTACTTGTTGAGCCAGTTCTGCTTGATGTTGTTGATGTTGAGGTACCACTAGAAGATGAAGATGGAACTATTTCACCACCAGTAGAGAGATATCTGGCTCTAACATAAGGTTGAATTGGAGGGAAAGTCTGTTGACGAGTAAGGCCACGATTCATTTGAAGAACTGGGGAAGTAACTCCATGTATCACATTACATAAACGGCTTGCTTCTGTTGGATTTGTTATCGTAGCTATACTAGGTTCAGGTATGAGATTTTCAGCACTAACTGGGCGATCATCTTTATAACTACCACCATCTGATGATCTTTGAAGGCCACTACTTCTAGATGATCCCAGTGATAAACTCAAACCCTCTTCTTCTTCTTCTAAATAAGGAATTTGGCCTAATGTAAATCTTCGTCTGTTTTCTGCTTGAACCATAAGTGTAGATGGTGAAGTAACACTCTCCCTTCTAAATATAGTACATGGTACTTGGGTTGCCCGTGCTAAATTCAATGGCACAGAATGACGACGACCCATTTTGTCAACAGTTTCTAACATTACTGCGGGTAATGAACCACGACGGCTAAGAGATTCGGGTTCTAGATCGAACGTTTCTCCTAGAGCTAATGAAGGCTGTGCAACTGTATCTGCTTCTGAAGTATCAGTCATTTGTTCTTCAGCATTTTCTTGTTGACGAAGGGCTTCCCAACGACGCTGATTTTCTTTTAAATTTGTCATCATAGAGTGAGATAGTTTAGTATCAAGGAATTTGTGCCATAAGTTAAACAAAGGCAATACCATAAACTTAAAAAACACTGAAATTAACAACAATTAAATAAGTTATATTTTTTAAATACTCTTGTATTAATGAATTTGTATTTTAAACAAAATAATTTATGAAGTTTGAAGGAGAATTAAAAAAAATAGCGATTAATAAAATATTAATTAATATTGAAATGAATACGATTCATTATATTTTTATTCAAAATTGTATATAAGTTTAAATTTTAAACCAAAAAACAATTAACTATAAATTAAATAAAGAAAACTAACCAGTCTGTATTTTTGGCACAGTATTGTTATATCGATCACAGATATCAGTGACTGGTAAGCCTAATTGCCTTTCATAGTCACCTTGTCTGAAAAATTCATCACACACTTTAAGACTCCACTTACGGCTAACATCCCATGGACGACAGGGGTTCGATATATCTGCACATTTCAGTGCTATTTGTAAAATGAAATGACGAAGTTTAGGATCATTCATATCTAGTTCGTTTTTTTCCATATGATCCTATAAAAAGTATTTATATAATATCATTAGAATATTTATAAAAAAAAAATTATTAAAATCATTTACATTAAATTTTTGAAGAAATTCGGGTTGCCTCGTGATGTCCGTAGCTAAAATCAATGAACTTATCTGAGATTCCAACTCGCGGCGAATAGGACTAAGTTTTTCTGCAACATGACTCTCCAGAAGACATCCGATTGCAGATCTCCAGTGATGGTTCTCCAAAACTGAAGTATTCTAAATCAGAAAAAAAAAATCAGTTATTCTAGATATTAAGTTATGGTTAACAATAATGTTTTACCTCATATAGTGTAGCAAGATGATTACTGGTAGCGATCAAAAATGGTTGATTGACGCCAGGGTGATCGAGATCATGAGCGACAGCCGCAATGAGAGATGCCATAATTTCCAATGGAGTCAGGAAGTTTTTGATCTGAATATAATAATACAATGATTCAAATATCTTTATTTCTGTGTCACTTTTAAAAACTTTTAGTAGAAGACATTGTAATATTATTAATACGAATAATTTTTTTTTACACATCCTGAACGCGTGGTATTATGCAATGCGTTTTATTATTTATATTGATATTATCACATAAGTGTAACGGTACCATTCATTGGCAGTTTCCCAGTCTTTGGCAAATTTTATATTTAAAATGTATTGGAGTTTTTGTAAAGTAGGCTTTTGTTTCCTTATTAAATCTCATTGTTGATTAAAAAATCAAAATATTATATAATACTTTAATAAATTATTAAACTATACTGCTAAAAACTGATTAGCGTGCCAATGAGTGGTGCCATATAATAAATTACAAATATTTACTCTAGTACTTCTAGATAAAAAATGATGACAGGAATATTTGTCGTAAAAAAATTTAACAAATATAAAAACACTTTACTGTGCCAATAATTAAACAATTAATTCTATATTTCGCTTTCGATAAAAATTTATTAGTGTAATTTTGTGTTTGATAGATTTTGGTTGATAGTAATTGAGGGTAATTCAAATAATAGATGAGAAGTGATCAAATTTGTTAACCCCAACAGAACACTATTAATATTATTTATGTATATTTGTTTTATATTTAAGTTTTTGAATAAACGATCTTTGCATAACTATATAGGTAATTTGCTTATTATAAGCCACTCCATATTATAATCACAACAATTTTTTTTTTTGTATTTTTAGTCATTTATTTCATGATTAATCAGCTATTAATTAATTTTAGCATTATTATTTATAACAAATAGAGATATCAAACTTATTTTTTTAAATGGGTCGACAACAACTTTTGGATTAGTACTTTAAAAGCTATTATGATTTTAAAAAGTAGACTGGGAGTGACGCGCGGGTACGACTATTTATATCATTAGACATTTCTCGGTCACACTACTCCTTTCGTCCACGTAAAAAAATGTAATAATAACCTCCGCAGTAATAGTCAAAAAGTTGTTATCTACCAGTTATTTTCTTAATTAAATAATTTTCTGTTTTATAAGCTAGTTAAATATACATGGTGCCAAAAATGAAATTAAATTGACATCCCTATATTTAACAAAGGACGAAGCTAAAAAGTACTTAATAGCTTAATAGTACATAATTTTTTTCAACATTTATTTATTTTGCTTGTAATTGAGTGATTTATTATAAACGGATCTCCCTTTAGTCGCTAAAAATATCAATTAATGAAAGTAGATTGGTATTCTATACCTATGATAAACATAAATTAATCGAATTTCGACTGATCGCTTTTTACCCATAACCTAAAGAATTGCTGTAACAGTAGACTAATAACTAGTATAATAGTTTAGATTTTAATTAATTTTTTTTTTTTAAAGATCCAAAATACAAAAAAAAAAAATATAAAATGCAAGTTTACAAAAAACACTGGACCTGTTTTTAAATTTTATTTCTCCTTAAATAATTTTAGTTTTTTTTTCAATAGTTATTGACATATTTACTTTGAGACGCCTACAAGAAAATTTTAAAATACGTGGTTGTCACACGCGCAATAGTATTTTTCGTTGTCATTAATAGAATACATAAATGTAAGAGCATAAATTAGATTCGTTTAAATTGCACGAGGTAATTTTCCTGTTATAAAGAACTATATTTAGACGGCACTGTATAAAGTGTGTTGAAAATTCACTAAATTATTATCTCACTAGTAAAATGATTCAACACAGAAACAAGCACAAGGTTATAAATGCAAAATTCTAAACATTGATCATTTTGATGAGTGACGACTGATTAAATAAGAAAACCCATACAAGTGTTTAGAATACTGACCTTGTCCTCTTGTAGGAAACAGTGCATCGCCTGTGTCACATCCGTCGCGTGAATAGCGTTATGGTAAGGATTTGTGCTGTGGTACCCTTCTTCTATTAGACCTATAAATCAAACAAATCCCACGTGTGAAAACATAAAGATCGATGGGTTTATCTTAATAGCAATAATATTGTTATTAAACAGTTCAATTCACTTTTGTTAATATTGAACGTGTTAAATAAAACGTATAAATCTGCTCGACTGTAAAAACGTGAATGCAAATAATAATATTCGAGTTGTTACCGCAATAAACCACACTGGTAACGTTTAGACATTAAGTCAGCGAGTGTTTCGAGCAATATTGCACAGATTTACTTACAATATGCACGTTTTTATTGCGAAAGATAATGCGTTAACGAGATTAACATTAAAATACAAAAACGGCTACTAAAATCTAAACTGTACTAGAAAAAATAATCTTTTAAAGTGATTTTACTTTTAGCAAAAATGTGTTTAATAAAGCGTTAATTAGATCAATGTTATGACAAAATTAATTAAAATCTAATGAGATTATCATGATGTAATGTTGTCAGTCGGAAATGTGTCAAGGAAGATACATTATTAACGAAAGAAAGTTATACAAAATAAGAAATATTGTATAAGAATGTAATGCATTTAATTATAATGAAATTTTAATAGTTTTGTACTTGCACTTCTCATAATCACATTAACAACATTTTTATAAGTTCTAGTATCATTCTAGTTGATTGGATCATTAATTTTTTTAGTTATATATGTATGCAAGAACAAGTAAGTTGTTAATTTTTATAGATGAATGATAGTGAAATGACCTTGTTTACTAAAATACTTATTCAAAACACCAATTTTTTTCCATTATTCTGTTTGTATTTCTGTTATCGTTTCATAGTCTACCGAAGGCGACTTCAGTAGTAATTTTAATGCGTGAGTATTGTTTGTTTTACAATATTAGATTTCGACATACAAATGAATATGTAAAACGCGCCTTTTAAAGGTTAATAACGAGGAGGTAAGCAAACTTAGCCGTCGGCATTTGCATATGACTATGTCGTTAATTAAATGAATCGAAGCACGTTAATGAAGACTTACTTTGTCTGGTGAAGCTTATTAAAGAGTGAATTGGTAATACAATGTTTTTAATAAGGAAAACCACATATTATTGCAATTAACAACATTATCATAAGTTTATGCTTGCAGAATATCACCCAAACAGACAGCCGTTTAAGATTATTAGCGAAAAAACAGTTTAGTTGATTCTTGTTAAGCGTTAAAAATCATTAAATTTTGAACAAACGTTCAAATTTATAACACTATCATATTTTATCATGCTCATTTGGCGCGGACTCAGTGTTTTAAACAGCGTGCAGTTCGGCGTCACCTACTAAAATTGAAATCCGACACTAACTACCATCTGAAAAGATTTCGGCGTTCTTTGAACACACGGTATTTAGTCAACTACAATGATAGACCTGTCGCCCACTAAAATTGTAAAACAATGATGCAGCGATACTCTGATGAAAATTGTTAGTACCATGAAGTATTTTGTACTTTTAGAAATTACTTTAAATACAAATTCAGACAAGTTCATTATTTACCGTGACCAAATACTAACAGACAATATTCTTTCAACAAATTCTTAAGAATGGTATAAAAAAAATTATTTTTTAACTACTTACACTGAGCAAAAAATATTTTATTTCTTTCTTATTTTATACATTTTATTACCGTTTAATTTTTTTTATTCATTTTAACAAAAAGTAAGTAATATTAATTTGAGTTTAATGTAGTTTATTATTATTTTTATAGAAATTTATTTTAATAAAAATTCTATAAAACAGCTAAATTACTTTGAATAAAATAAAAAAGAAACTTATTAAATATATAAAATTTTTATGCTTACTTTTAAATTTAATGAATAAATGACGAATTAATAAATAAACCCAACCCCTAATTTGACAGAAATATTCATCTCTTAAATAAAATGATGAGCATAAAAAAAGAAAATGAAAGAAAAACAGTTTTTTTTTACTATGCACCTCGTTATGAAATTCTGATTATACCGCTAACATATATTGTTTGTTAAAAATCATATAATTTGATGTTTATTAATCAAAAGAAATCAATGAAAAATTTAGATTAATTTATTTAGGCGAATGACCTAGCTCAGTCGGTAACGCGTTGTGTCTCGGTGTCCAAGTTCGATTCCGTTGCGGTTAGCTGTACAGGGTTTTCTTCTTTTCTTGTACAAGTAATAAGTTTTTGAGGAAACGTTAGACATGATTATTAATAATAACATAAAAAAAAAAATGTAATGGTTGGCTTGACTATAAATTGAAATGGTAATGTATACATGAAGAATAAAAAGTTTAAAATATAGTTTGTATGAAATTTTTATCCATCATATTTTACTTCCATCAATTGACTTCAAAGGAAGTTTTCATTAATACAGACCCATAATGAGTTCTTCTGAATTCAATTGAAATCAGCATGACGAATATAAGTATAGATTTATGTCACATTCTACAAAATTGAATACAATAAAACGAGTTTCGAGAATATTTTCTACAATTAATCGATATAGCTTTTAATATTCCACTGAAAACTTTATTTACCTCTAACGAGTGTAACATATACTAGCAAACAAATGTTGTAATAAACATACAGTGATGTTATTTAAAAAATATTTCATACTTAAATGTTACAGTATAACATTTAAATAGGATATGGATCTTATATTAAAAGATTACTAATCTATGTCTTGAAATAATGATTCGGCAGCAAGGTCATTATTGTTATAATGTTTCATTATATTGGGACATCAATTTAAAAGATCATTTTTTAATGTCTATACATTATTATTATTAATAATTTTATTATTTTATATAATAAAAAGAACAAACAATTAACGTTATCACATTTATTTATTAATAACTATGTGGTATATTCAGTAAAAACATAGAAGCTTAAAACGAGACCATTCATTGCTTTATAATCCTACATCAGAATAATTCAAATGAAAACGCAAATATAGGCTTGTTAGTGGATGGGCAATAATATTTAATTATACAACCCATGACTAAAATGAGTTTTGTTTATATTGATTTTAAAAGGGTAAAAGCTCTGTACGAATTAAAGTTTGTTTGATATAGAACTTCTACCGGTAGCTAACATATATAACATCATGGTAGCTAACAACAAACTTTTGTAAAGTTTTCATGTTGTTTTCGATGGAATTTTCAATTAAACTAGGTAATTAAAATTCATCAACATATTTAGTATTTTTAAATGATAAAAATACTCTATACTATTGAATATTATTTTGATAATTTTAAATGTCGATAAACTAATTGAGCGAAACTTTAATATTCAATTCATAAAAATATATCAATATAATTTTATTACTTACTAAAAAGTTTCCACACTTGAACTACGTCTAGTTTGAAATATTCCATTAGACCATACCAATGAAAAAGATGAACGCAAAGTACTGGTAGTGATCTTCCTGTAAAAAAAAAAAGGAAAATATTTCAATTATATTTATCTGGTTTAAATATTTGCTGTATTTTTGTCAGTAACCTATAGGAAAGGTTTTTAACTGCATTAATTTGATTTAGAAATTTAACTACTTTTGATAGACTATCGACTAAGATTTTCAAGATTTTTATAATACTTTTAAAATTTTCATGAAGATTAGAGAATATGTTCATAATATAAAATGAGACATTTTCAATATAATATCTCTGTTTTAAAAATAAATTTTATCTGAAAGAATGGTGAATTATTCGTCATTCGTGTAGAGGATGTTTATTAAATGCTTTAAAAACCTTCAGTTTCGTGATATAAAATATTTTTTAATTCAAACTTGCTATAGTTTCTAAACCTTTTATTATACACAAGTTATTTTATAATATAAAGGTATTAGAGATAAAATTTGTTCTATTCTTGTTTTTTATTTTGTAGAGTTTATGATTTCTAGGGCTCTTACCATAAACATGTTAGCATAATTGTTTCTTTAACAATGTTTCATACCATAACTGCGGATATAAATAAAATAAAATGAAATTATGAAATTAAATAATAATTAGTGGTTAATTTAAAATGGTCGACGTTTCAGTAGAATTTCTGAATTTATATTTACCATACTTATTATGACGATTGAATAGTATCTAAATTATAAAATTTTAATTAAAACTGAAAAATTCAATAGGACTCAGTCCAATTTACAGTGTTCAAATATGTCTTGAGATCTTATCGTAAAGAATTATAAAACTATTTTCCAAGTATTGATGATATAGTTATATATATAACTATAAATATAACAATAAATAATAATTATTTATTAAAATACAAAAATATATTCTAAAAATAATTAAATTAAATACATAACCTTGATATGATCTATATATAAAATAACTTTCGTAACGTGATATTGGTATAGCTAAGGGAAGAGGCTAAAGTGTTACAGTTTACCTTATGGGTAAAACAATACTGTTAAAATTACATGACTTTGGTCCTAGCAAGAGTACGCGATAAACAAAAAAAAAGTCATTATCTCCCTTTAGAAATCCTGTCTACGTCATAGAAATAATAATAATTAAAACCACATTTTCTACTTACCCCCTGTAGCTGTATCTAACGCAAAAGCGTTGAATGGCCATTTCCATACATGTTTCAATACACACTGTAAAAAAAAATGCAATATTAGATTACTATTAGAAAAATTTAAAGCTTTTGAAGCAATAAAACACGTTATTTGTGTACGATAAAAATAATAATTTGAAAAAAATGTCAGTATGAGTTCATAAATTTAATTATTATTAGTGGCATTTTCCATCAAAATATAAATGTTGGTTATATTTTTGTTTAGTATTAAAAATTGTATATATCATAAAATTTTAAAACTCAACAAAGTAAAATAAATAAATTTAATAAAATTAAGGTACAGTTAATTATTATCTTGTAGTTCACTTCAATCCACGAAAAAATATATTTATAATGAATTCATTTACATTTAACTGTGTTAGTTCAGCGCTGTATAAAAATTCATTCACTCTAGAAGAAAACTTAACATGAAATCATGTTGTCATTTTGATTATCATAATAATACGGACTGAAGTGATCTAATACGCACTGTTAGGAGAAATTATTCCATAAATTTGATTTATATAGTTTGATTATATAAAACTGTGTAACTTAGTAAAAATTGAAATAGTGTGTCGAGGGGCTTATATGAGTTATCTGTCTACAACTTATAGAAAAAATTCAATTTTTGTTACAGTACTAATCAAAATTGCTGGAAACGATTGATAGTTCTATCACAAAAACATGACAAAATATTAAAAGTAAATCTAAATTTGATTCAGGTGCTTTTCTATTAAGTAGAAAAATATACTACTTTATTACTTTGTTGAAGGACCACTATAAGACTGAAAAACTTTAATGTAACCTAACTATTGTTAGTTTTGTTAAATCATCAATAAAAGTTATTTCTGTTCGCATTATAGAGTAGTTGCATTTGATTTTATGATACCTCACCCTAAGTAGACTTTTATGATCTTTATTTATTTTTCATCTTAAATAATTTGACAATAAATTTCGCTAAAAAATATTCTGGAAACGTTTGGAGATATTCTTGAAATCTTAATTTACTATAATATAGAAGAATTCCAGAAATAGTTCCATTTAATTAGACCAGTTAAGTAAATTATCTGAAAGGCGATAGAGGCAATACTACAAATACCACCCAAGTTTCAACATCATATATCCGTGGTTAAAATAACCCACAAGAATTTGTACTTAAACGATGTATACAGTTCATCTAAGTTTATCTTCTAACCCACTTAATTAGGTATACACATTTTCAACAACTCGTGTCACGCTTTAGTTTATGACTTTTAATTTTGAAGTATATAGAGTGGGCTTTTGCCTATTATAACAACCGCATTCTCCAGAAACCTGTGTGCAATTTAACTGAACTTTGTACCATTGTAGCGTTAAACTTATGGAAACTTTGGCTAAAAGTAAACTTACTTTAGAAAATGATTGATTAGCAAAGAACACTAATAAGTCGTGGGAAAAGTAATTGTAAAAGGTTTTAAATAATATAACTTTATTGTTGTCAAAACAATTTAATATTTGATCGCAATAAAACGTTTTAAAATATATTAATATTTCTCTATCATACTATTTTGATGTAATAATTATTAATTTAAACTAATACTAAAATTTATTAAATTAAATTTGACGGTTTCACCTTGACAATCTGATTTTATTCGTGTGGGTAATTATAGATGACAAACAAATAGCTAAGAAGCCGTGTACAAATCAACTGTGGGTACATTTTCAGAAGCATACAGATATTAAAACGGATTGTTTCAAAGTATACAAGCGTACAGTAAAACTATGCGAGTAATGTATTGTATTCATTAACCATAGAAAATATAATTTTACCATAAGTAATAAGCAAGACTAAAGATACTAATTTAAACTGAAATAACACTGCATAGCATATTTTGTCCTTTAATATATTGCGCTACTTTTTAAGTACAGCATAAATGAATCCAACACACACCTTGAGCGAATTTAAACATATTACGTTGATAGATGTCTATCTTAAGCGACACGGAGATTTAAAAGCTAATAAATACTGTAATGCACTTGAATAATATTAACAAATCAGTATTTCAATTGAAAATAGTATTCCGATGAAATTAAAAGTTCATAAATAATATTTTAGGATTGCGAATCAACTACAAATAGTGAATGTTATCGGTTATTTAGTAATTTCTTGTAATAAGATTAAATATAAAAGGATTATACCGCAGAATACATCAAAGAGTAAACGTATACCTCTGATTGGTATAGTATTGACAGGATATCACGAAAATGTTTACAACGCTCCAGTTGCTTGCCTCGAGTTATAATTAATTCCAACATAAAGAGAATTAATCAGTGATGGGAGGGGCTATAATACTTAACAACCCTTATTCGTAGACGATTTAGTTTTTAGAACAGAGCAATATAAATAGCAGTGTGTATTTACATTTCCTCTGCACGCCATGTTCGATACTGACAACTTGTATTTAATATGATAAAATAGGCCGAGATTCTATTTTACACAAAACTCGTTACTCCGATTATCTTTCACGTTTGATAATATATAGCTTATTTAAATCGGAGCACCTCGCTATAATTAGTTGTACACAACTATGCAAATAATGTAGAAACACTTTTATTATAAATGAACATAAGTTAATTTAACCGCCTAAACAAATGTTATTCAGTTAGGTTAGGTTAATTCATATTCTAAAGTATACCTTTATTTCAAGTAATAATTTATTTAGTTTGTGTAAAACAAACACTTAAAAAGTGTTAATGTGAAATTTATTGAATCACTTTAATGAGTCCAATGGTTTTTAAATAAAAAATTTGTTCAAAAATTACTTATTAAAATAAAATAAAAAAAAAAACACTTTTAATAAAGAAATTAATGACGATTAAAAATGAATTTGCATTTATAACATTTAATAAACTAATATGATATTTGAATCGTGCTGTGTATAGTATATTTAAAAAACATTCTAAAATTTATTGAAGTACCACAATCAAAGAAATAAGTTTAAATTCTATAAGAATTATTTTAAGAAAATATAATTAAATTGAGATTAATTAAATTAAGGTTAAAACGGAAAAATTTATTTCGTATTTATAATTCTTCAAACTAATTTAAAAATAATCCTGAAAATATAAAAATACTCTAAATTTTGAATAATTTAATTAAAATTCAATTATTATGGAAGCATAAAAAAGGAACAACGGAAAAATTACTCATATCTGACCTAATTAATGCTACTCGACTGTTTTAAGTGTAAAATAATTACAAATACATCTTACAATATAATTAATAATTTTCAAAAATCCCTTAAGAAATTATTGAAAGTATGATGATTTATTTAGTAGAAATTCAAAGAGAATATACATAAAATTTAATTAATAATGAATAATTACCAAAGCTAAAGAAAAATGTTTACACTGTTTATCGAACAGTATTTTTCTGTTAAAACTTCTAATTAAATTAATACCTTTTACAATTAACGTTACAAGGGACCAACTTTTTGTTGTTATACTTTGTGCACGTTGTTTGAAAATTGTCAAAAAATAATGAAACATCGCTTTAATTAAAAAAATTAAACAAAAAAGATAATTACATAAAAACTAATTTGCGTTTTCAACACAGATCTATTTTTATAGATATAAATAAGCTTTTAAAATATAGTTAACAATTTTTATGTCTAATAACAGGGTAAAACATGTTCTTTTATAAGTCAAAAAAAAGTTGGCAAGCCATTCCTAAGAGAATTGAGTCAGACTTGAATGGTGAGAATTCCATAGTTTGAAAACCTTAATCCCTGGGATTAAGGGACCGAACGAATATAACAGATTGGATTGGGAACGAAAAAAAGTAATTTTTTCGGCATATCAATAAACACGGATGCTTTCTATTACCTACTTCAAATACTTATACAAGAAGCTCGTCTTGCATACCGAGTAAGTTAAGCTTTTGAGTTTATTTATTTGAATAAATGATTCAATTTTGAATAGAATGCAAAGCGAACAGGTTAAAAAATCTCCGCAATCTATTTAGTCTACTTTTAGAAATTTAAATACATATAAGAGATAAGTGCAATAAAGATTTTACTATAGGCACAATCCATGAAAGTCATAGAATTTCAAGAATTCCATTTCATTAGTAGCGTAGTTTTTTTTAACGTAAAACAAAAATAATTTAAACACTAGCAAAATATCTTTTTAAACGAAATTACTTAATCACGCTTACCCGAACTTGGCCGTGGTGTATATCGTCCAACAATGCTGGTGCGGTATCATTGGACAGAGATCTGGTGGTAAGTTTTTTCCGCCTACGTTTATGCATTGTAAGAAATCGACCGTTTGGAAGTCGCTTTCCACAAAGGGCAACCGATTCCAAAAGCACCACTTCACCCTCGGATAATAGCCGCGATCTACGTTTGCACCGATCATCTGTGGGAGAGTCATCTAAAACAATGTTATAAATTAAAATTAGTGAATATATTGTTTTAATAGTGTAGATTTTATAAAATTAAAATTGTATACAAACTTAATAGATTTGTGTCAACGTATTAAATCGAGTCTAGCACAATACTGATTTTTAAGTTACAAAAGTAACCTAAAAGATTTGTAGTGTAAATATGTACAATAGATATAAAATAATGAATTTCATATAAAATACCATCAGATAATCAATTAACTTTTATCATAACGTAAAACCAATATGATTATTAAATATTTTATATAATCTTCAAATAAAATAGGTAAAAATACTCTACTTTATATAAATATTTACTTAAGAAATTTAAATAATAATTATTTAAATTTATATTATTTTTTTAGTTGCCAATTTACAACTACTAAGTAAATAAAACATTAATTAAGTTGAAGTAATATTTATCAGTGAAGTTTGGTTTGTTATTTACTTTAAAATATACTACTTCCTTTATATAAGCCATTAAATTTTTACTTTAAAGCAGTTAAAGATTTTTTTTCGTGATATATTTGCTTTTAAACCAATTAAAAATAATTTTTGGTTTAAAAAGTATAAATTTGGCATATTTTAAGCCTAAAATGACTGGTAAAATATATTTTAGTTATTTATATTATTTATGAGGTTATAAGAGAAATTTAACTATGATAGTTCTTAGTGTTTTCTTCAAAACTTCTGTGAGAATAATGTCATATTTTATTAAAAAGAAATCAGTTTTAGCTATCATGATTAAAACAGTAAAATCTCATTTCACGTGAGGATTTCATTTTAGGGTGAATTTCGTATGTTACAAGGATTTCAATGCGAGTGTCCAGTAGGGAGTTCAGTAAAAGATAGTGCTACTGTGATATGCCATACAAATAATACAAAGACCCAGACATATAGTACATTAGATAACGGTAAGTTTTCTTATATAGAAAACGTTAATCTAATTCTTATTTAACAATGTAAAAACGTTTATAATCTAAAGTAACTAATCAAAAAGCTAAATAACACCTTGGAATAGTAAGTAATTTTTAAAAATTATATATTGTATAATTATTATTGTGATAAGATATTGTACCTAAATGGAATATTTAGCTTCGATGCGAAGCTGAGAAGGTATTGGTTTTACTAAGATGTGTTTTTTTTTTTTTTTTGTGTCTGTTACCACTTTTTCTCAGCTCTCACCGAACCGATTTCTTTCAATGATACGTCAAAAGATCACAAATCGTATCTAGTCGAAGACATTACCCTTAAAAATTGAAAAAAATTCCCTCGTTCCCCGTAAAAGGGGGAAACCTCCAAAAAAATTACAAATTTAAAAATCGCTAATTTTCGAAATTTTTTCAATTTTTTTTACTTAAAAGTGCCATAACTTTTTCAAAAATAAACATATCAATATAATTCTTTTTTATATAGATGCATAATATCATTACCTTTCATTTGGTATATTTTTTTCATAAATTTAATCCTTAACCTGCCCACAAGGGGGGATTTAAAATGACAACTTTTTCACAAAAAATGAACTTTTTCAACTTAACTTTTAAAAATATTCCGGAAGGTCTGACACTTTTATATATATCTTAAATTAAAGCTAATGTAATATACTTTATCGTCAAAAAAAAAAATTTCGGACTTTATTTTATCTTCATGGTGAAAATGGCTACCGAATGCTATTTTTGTGTGAAAATTTTCGATTTTGTATTTTACATTTTTAACTTTATTATGCTATAACTTTTTGAAAGATTTTCACTTTTTTCATGAGATATTATATATTATCTATATTATATATATAATCAATATTTATATACATCTTTCATTTGACATACTGTTTTTTTAAATTGGACCATTTCCCTATATAAGAGGGGGTTCAAATCTAAAAAATTCATGTAGAAAGTAGAACTTTTTCAACTTAAATTTTGAAAGTGTTCCGGAAAGTCTGACACTTTTATATATATCTTAAATTAAAGCTAATGTAATTTACTTTATTATGCGAAAAAAAAATTTCGGACTTTATTTTATCTTCACGGTGAAAATGGCTACCAAATGCTATTATTGTGTAAAAATTCTCGATTTTATTTTTTACATTTTTAACTTTATAATGCTATGACATATTGAAAAGTGTATGGATCAACATTATTTTTTTATGAGAAATAATATTTTTTAATAATCCTTTTTTCATTCGACATACTTTATCTTAATTAGGATATTAATAATGAATTAGCAGATCATGTAGCTTTTGGAATAATCCACCAATTTTATAAAATTAAACACTATCTAAAGATTTGCATCGAAGCGTTTTTTTTTTGATAGTGATTTTAATCACTGTCAGATATCATTATACTTGATCCATCTATACCATGTCACCACTGTTTTAAGTATAAATTTGTTTTATTTTTAGAGCTATTACAATTTTTAGGTTAATTTAAAATTATTTATACATAGAGGTAATCTATTATTTAAAATATTTATAGATATAACAATGTCATCAGTTTTATGCTGACGTTTCTAACTCCTTGCAGAGTTCATCTTCAACAGTATAGTTACAAAGTCAGGCCTGTAACTATGGCTCCGAAAATGAATTTAAAACGTCAGCATTAAACTGTATCACATGGATATATCTGTAATATTCTAAATGATATAACAATCTGTGAAAGCTTTAACACATTCATAAACATAACTAGACAAATGTAAAAATCAGTAACACTTAATACTTGTATATTCGAGAGTGAAGGCATAAAAGCCGAGGTGTATACATTTCAATATAATTTAAATTTGAATTGAATTGATTTTTATTTGTTGAGTGTTTTACAATGAACAGGATAAGATTTGTCAGAAATGCGTTCAAAATAATTGAACTGTCGAGAAATATTAAATAACGACGTACCTACAAAGATAAAGACGGAAAAGCTTAAACGGGATTGAGCTGTTGAAGATATTTACTAAAAGGAATTTTTCAATTCAAAGCATCATCTACGTAAAAATGTATGAACAGTTCATGACACGTATTGGAAAAATATGAATAAAAAGTGAATCATTTTTACCAATAAATAATTAATTTAAAAACGCAAACCCAAATATATTATTTTGACCATTATCAATTTTGAATTATTTTATTTTAACAACAATTTCTGGAGAACTTTGATTAAATAAGATTTTGAACAATAGTAATTCCTTACACAAAGCAAATTAAACTAAGTGTGTAATTTAATTAATGCTATAAAAAATTGTCCTTACAAATATGACGATAGTCTGTCTAGAGAAATGTTGAATGGAATCAAGATAAATTTGTAAGATACGACAACTAGATAAAAAATACTTGTATATTATTTAGATAATTAAGGACACGAGTATTTAATTTTTTGTTAGATGAATCTATCTAGATAAATAAAATATTTCACATTTTAATTTTTATCATATAAGCAATTTAAATTATATTAGTTGACCTTTGTTCCATATACAATCAAACAATATAGAGATGTTTCTATGCTATTTTCGAGAGTAGAAATTTTAATTTACGGTCTTTGCGGCAATCGATCGCTTGCTGGGTTTAATATGTCAGAATATTTTTTGAATATTATAGGCTATTTTTGACAGCAAGAACTAAAAGTCAAAACAAATGATAAGGTTGAGGTTTCATGATGGAGTCTCGTGGAGTTTATGAGGATAATTGCACCGAGGCCTCAACATATTTAGGTTTTTAGGGATCTAACATTTTTAAAAGATTTGAAAAATTACGTATGTCTAAAATCTGTAACTAATTTTTTTTTTTTTAAATAGCGTAATTTTAGTTTTAATACAAAGCAAAGTATTAATTTTACTTTGATTTTTTCTTACGCTTAACGCTTTGTTTGCTAATAAGTTTCAGTTTCATAAATTGATTATTGAATAAAAACTTTATAAAAACCCAACACAGTGTGGTCGCGGCACGGTAGGTACGTGGCTTAGTTAGTCCAGTATAGATAACAGACAGTGATTAAAATCACTATCATGAAAAACGCTGCGATGCAAATCTGTAGATAGTGTTTAATTTTTAAAAAAATGGTGGATTATTCCAAAAGCTACATGATCTCCTATTTCCTTATTTATATTCTGATTACAAGTTTTATGATTTATAAATGTAATATATAAATATATATATACAAGATGATTTTTTTATCATAACCCACTCAAATACTTACAGAATAATAATAATTAAAAATTTTTTTTTTATTATTATCTTTAGTTATACATTATTCTTGAATTATTAACTATGTAATACTTTTTAAGTTCATCCCTTATGCCTGGTAAGGGTGTCAACTTTGTTTTTTTAAATGGTAACACATATTTTTAATTTAATAAAATGTTTGAGTTTTTAATTCAATAGTAAATGGCATTTGAATTTTTAATGAAACTTAATTTGTTTATTAGATATAAACATTTAAAGTTTCAAATTTTTGAGTTAATATATAGGTATAATACACAAGGGATTACAAATACAGGTAGCTAATTGATTTTTTATGACATCGATATTAGCAGGTACACAGCATTGTTATTATCAATGATAGTAAGGTACATTGTTGTGAGTTTATAAATACACTAACTGACAATACAAAAAGTATATCTATTGATAGTCATAATTGATAATAAACAATCCGTGACTGTGATAGCAATATCATAAAAAATCAATTAGCTACCTGTATTTGTAATCCCTTGTGTATTATACCTATATATTAACTCAAAAATTTGAAACTTTAAATGTTTATATCTAATAAACAAATTAAGTTTCATTAAAAATTCAAATGCCATTTACTATTGAATTAAAAACTCAAACATTTTATTAAATTAAAAATATGTGTTACCATTTAAAAAAACAAAGTTGACACCCTTACCAGGCATAGGGGATGAACTTAAAAAGTATTACATAGTTAATAATTCAAGAATAATGTATAACTAAAGATAATAATAAAAAAAAAATTTTTAATTATTATTATTCTGTAAGTATTTGAGTGGG